GTACAACAGCCTGGTTACCTAGGACCACCACAGCCTGGTTACCCAGCAGTACAACAGCCTGGTTACCCAGGACCACCACAGCCTGGTTACCCAGCAGTACAACAGCCTGGTTACCTAGGACCACCACAGCCTGGTTACCCAGCAGTACAACAGCCTGGTTACCCAGGACCACCACAGCCTGGTTACCCAGCAGTACAACAGCCTGGTTACCTAGGACCACCACAGCCTGGTTACCCAGCAGTACAACCAATGGAAATTCAGGTAACTGATATCAGGGGATGTCGCTTTGGTCGTTTCTTCTGACATCATGCATCATGGCATTGAAATTACAAACTGATCCCCGTGGGGGGTACTCCCCTATATTCGCTATACGGGGACGTGCTGCCAACCAGGGTATCGTTTTCAGAGATTTTACTCTGGAACAGGGTGTCGATTTCAACGAATTTTCTCTAGAACAGGGTCAGGGTTTAATTCCGGAATTATTGATGCTGGATAAAAATTCACGTAAAGATGGTTTATTTTTTGTTTCTGTAGAATGCACAAGATAAGCCCAATAACTACTTTGGTTTAGCCGTTTTTGTTACCATATGTTGCTGTTGGCCTTTGGGAATTATAGCTATCCGAAATTCCAGAGAGGTAATCAATTGCTAATATATTCCCGTAAATCTTTTTATTTGTGTGTCGGTGTTTTCTGTACTTTACAGAAAAGCTAAGTGTATAAATTACACTTGAATTCTGCTCCTTTTTGTACCGTCATGCTTTTGTTCTAAAATATGACGTCATATGTTGTGTGAGCATGCGTATTAGTGCATCTGTCAAAGAAGGGACAGCAACCCCAGCTGTAATTTAGATTGTTCTGTTTTTCATTTGACTGAAAATGTTTTAAGATTGTTCACGTCAGTTTTATTTTTTTTCTGACTGTCATGCATTTTTGCAGGTTGACAGTGCATACTATGAGGGGGATTATGAACGAGCCAAGAAATCCTCCAAAGATGCAAAGTGCTTTGTTTTAGCTTCTTTCTTTGTAGGGTTGCTATTGATTTGTATAATTGTTGCAGGAATGTTTGCCCAGATTAGTAGTGCTACGGAAAGAAGCGTATAATTCTCAGAATTCTTTCGATACAATTGTTTYCGTTTTACTGGCTGGCATTTCAGCTATTGAGTTATTGCTAAGATATAAATAACAGCCTGATATTATAAGTGTACTTGATAATATACTCTACGCTTAACAGTCATGAAAGTATTCTTCGCCGAAAGACCTGTTCCGAAAAAGAATTGAAGTCGAAGCTGAGTTTGATACATTTGTTTGTGTATTCTATCAATGTAGTATCATAAATTCATAAGCATCAGAATTCCGGGAAGGTCTATTATTATATCAAGTAATTTCAATTGATATATTACGCTTTTATACGACACAGCAAGTAGTTTTATTTGTTGTGTTGTTGTTATTGTTGTTTTCATTATAAAAGGCATTAAATAAAGATCTAAAGCTTAATGTATTAAACCAAGAAAACCCCAGATGCCATGAGCATGATCATGAGACCGAGACTTATTGACATAGTTGAGCCTGCATTACATAGGTCAGTGTCACAACAGTTTATATCACATGATATCTGTCCAGAAGTCTGCATACAGTATGTATAGTTTTGTTTTTTACACATGACACTCCGTGCGCATCCCAGTACGTATCCCTGACTTATATCGCCAAACAATGCCGCTGACCAGTTTGCTTTCAGGCACTGGTCAAATCCATCTGGGCAGACAAAATCTTTGATTCTGCCATGACATTCGTCAAGTGAATTGGTGCTCCCACAGCGGTGGCATTTAAGGGCTGAACCTGGTGACAAAGTTAAAGTGTTGATTTGAATTTTAAATACACCAACTTCAATAATAGTCTACTCCATCAAATAGYATCAAATGAAGACATTCCGCGCAAAGGCTGCTGGTAATAATGCAAGGAGATGGATGTTTAGAATACAAGATGAGATGGTGCCCAGTGCAGCGACTATACGATCGATTAATTACAAATTTCACTAAAATCGCTTACTTTGRAGAATGCTTTAATATTCTAGTTGTTCAATTTTGCGTGAATTCTTAAAAGGAAAATTAATTAAAGTGGGCCAATAAGTAGATCATGTTTACTAGTGGTGACAAGACTCGTTACAGAATCTTCGAGACCAGTAGCTGCGCGGTTTTAGCGGTAATAAGACATCGCAAATCAACTATTTTGCAAATTGGCCACAAATACATTTTTATAATGTAAAACAATACGATGACCGAGTGGCTTATCTGACTCTCGTTTAGTTAATGTTCTTAGTCGTCCTCGTATATTCGTAATGCGATCTGTTCAGTTCGTATATTCACTTTTCAAATATGGAAATTAGTGTTTTCTCGTCAGGTAGTCGTAGGAACTTAAGTCGACCGAATACAATATCTCGCTCATCGTTCATACAATGAAAAACACCGACAAACAATTTTCAGCGTTTATAAAGCCATTAAACACAAAAGATGTTTTCACTTTTTAAATCGCTGGCGACGTAGAAAATTGTAAAATATTGCTGTAAACGCGGACTGTGTGAACGTTTTATTCTATGATGATAAAATAGACTTTATATTCAGCTGGGTTAGAACCATTTGTATCATCTGTAAAACGCGAACGTTATGTGAAAGCTGGTCAGTGAAAGTGGTTACTGCATCACAATAGAAAGTGCTTACCTAGAACGATGAACAAGTTCGCGATGATTATTGCGTAGTAGTTCGCTTTCATATTTTCCTTCTAAAAATGTAGAAAATCTTCTCTACATGGTTCAAGGTTCTGTTTTCTTTTTCTCATAAGAAAACTAGAGAATCAAGCGGCTTGTTATGCCGACTCACACTGCAGATGGTTAATATTTAAATGTCAGGGTTTTTTTTCAAAACGAATACATTAAAGGATGTTATGTTTGAGCTGTATTAGGTATTTGCGGTAATTGCATATCATACATTATTGATATTCTTAYTCATGCTATGCGAACTCGCTTGAAAACAAACCCTAAGGTTGACAGCTGTCCATCATTAGCAGGCCTACTAACGATTTAAAACCTCACAAAGGTTGGACATTTCTGTCGCGCTCATGGCGCGCAGCAGACAATCGACTGCAAGATTAAACCATCTTTTGAATAAGTCTACCTCGAAGCCTCGTTTCTATGTTTTAAGGAGAGATTGGATTATGCATATGTGGTGTAACCTGCATGGTTACAGAGAGGTTCGATATTGCCAAGGAAACGGTCTCTGATACCAGTAGCGCGGACATGATCCGTCTACTTAATTCAGAAAAAATCTGTTGAGCTTGAATAGTATGTGGAGTGTAAAGACCTGTGTTGTACATCACTTATAACCGCTTATTTTTGTACAAAAACTAAATAACATGAGATAAGGAAAGTTTATTGACAGCAGTTTTTTTTTTTTTCAAACTGGACAGGCTGCCGAGATAAGGCCGTGAAAAGTTGTCTGTTCACGGCCGATGTTTGATATGCGGATCAAAGGCAGTTATCGCTTGACAATTGAGTTCGTTCCAATCACATTTTGTTTAAAAATGCATGTCAACGTTTTCCCATGTTGTTTCGGCTCATGTAGTTTAAAATCTGACTTATGATTAGAAAGAGTTTAACTTAAAATACATATAATTATCAAACAATGCACTTGAACAGTTTTTCGCTGTTTTATTTTTTCTGAAKTACAGTCAAATTGCATAGATCCCTGTCAGATGTCAGCAATTTGTTTTTGCCACTGGAATGGCACATAGATATTGGCTAATAATTGACAGTTTTACTGGCTAAAAGCTGTTTTTCTTTATGGTTAATATTGTTACAAGGGAAAAKCACATTATTRCGGTATTACTGAAGTACACTTAGCTGGTATGCTTGGCGCGTATACTTGCTAGTACAACAACATTTCAACGTATCTTACAAACTGCCATAGAACGAAAGATAATCAGAATATCTCATTATGATTGATATTCAATCAAAAGTTGATTGACAGGATGTACAAATTAACTGCAGTGGCATCATTATCATCACTTGACATATCATCATCATCACTACCACCATCATCCGCATTACTAGAAGACATAGTGTCATTATGGGCATGATSATCATCATCATCATTACCATAATTGATTATTAATACCAATCAGTCATCAAAAGATAAACATATTGATAATATAAACTATTTACATATAATATACAAATAACGAAACATTGTAATCATTCATGGCCGGTATCAWATCGAATAGGTCAATAAAATGGGTGAAACCGGACTGTCCTGTTTACAGAGGATACACAAAGTATTCACACTCGTATCCAAAGAATTCTTGATCGAAGTCGAACGTCAAATGATCTAAGGGTTTAATGAGAAGTTTCTAAAGCCTCTTTAACGGCAACGCCATGTAGCATTATGGAACAAAAGATCGTGCTCCTTGTTGGATAGTGTATGACAGCTATCTTGATGTGAATTGTAAAGCATTCATTATTCCCTGTTATCAGTTTAACTGAGCTCATTATTTTTGATCTTTTGTTCGATATCATCGAGTATTTGCTAATTTTGGTAAAAAGTTTCATCGTGCTTGTAGTTTGGGTCAATATCTTGAATATTTTAGTTATAACTGGCGCTCGGATGATTGAATGTTCTATTTCGATTTCATTGCCGCATTGCTGATTTTTTTTCTCAACTATTTGAATTGAAATCCAATAGACATTAGAACCAATATCGTAACCACAAAAATAGACGGCGAGTGCTTTCCAGAACTATTACAGAGGTCTCCTTCACAGCAGTACACTTCGCACATGGCATAGCCATCGGTRCTGTTACACATCGAATGAGCTTCTTTTTTACAAAGGTCTTTAGTAGTACACCCTTTTATGTACCCGGTAGATATGGATCCTATCTTGCCAATGTCCCACATGGCCTTCATGCACCGGTCCTCGTTTGGCTTGCAGGTCCCATTTGATTGATAGTAGGTACATTCTTCGAAAGAAACATCATTATTACACATGTAGCACTGTAGTGGTGATTTACCTGGAAAACATAAAAAAGAAATATAAACTACAGCAAGACTAATACTGTCAACATCCATCACTTCGTCATTCACCTATCGTAGTCAAAGGCTGATAAAGATTTATCTTGGTCAAAATGGCATTTTTATAATCAATTCATATAATCGACTGGTGCAGAGGTTAACCTGGGAATCTTTTGGTCACTTGAAATATCGACAAATTACCTCAACAAAATAACATTTAACACATGAAAGTGACATTATAAAAACCCCTCTCTGTTACACTATTTCATCGTCAGGTAATTATGTAATACTGTTTTTATAGCAAAAGGATCAAATGGTGGGCTGCCCAAAAACAAAACCAGCGACAGCTAGAGCTATAACGATGTGTGATCCATTTGAATAAATGCAGTGAACATTTACAAAGCAGCTGTTTCTGTTAGGTGTAAATAAAACATCGTTTTAATCATATACGAAAGTCGAAATTCAGCRAAAAAATATAGCAAAAAAATTGTATACAAAAGGCATTTCTTCCGATGAATATACCATGAAAAAATKCACATAAGAGACATTGTATGATGGAAATTATTACGGCGATACATCCAACCAGTGCTACACAATTCCGGCATAAAAGTAAAAGCGCTTTAAGGCAGTTTAATCTATCAACATCACTACAGCCAAGGACCTCGTCGAGTATTGGATATAACATTTATAGAACTGTTATTCAGTGTGTTATTCACTTGTCTAAAACGAACGTTTTGAATTATGGAAACGTATGTTCAACCTCTACTTTGAATGAATRTATTTTTTCCTGTAAAGCGTTTGTTTTATAGGTTAATGGCGATGCTTGCTGAAAGGTTTCATGGAGTATATACTACCTTGTGTTATGGAAGCGACTACCAGTAGAAGAATACAGCGATGTACGGTACTCATATTAGATCTCTCTACAGAMGATATTCCCTCGTAAAACGCCGTTGTTACCCTCAAGCCATATGCATTATTCACTCGAATTTTACCAAAAAACGGCAACGGAAGGAGAAATAGCGAAGAAACAGAAGATGATGYGGAAAGCGTTGGTTTTCTTTTCTATCTAAATAAAAAATACAGATTGCGGTTGTGACGATATATAAATAATTCACTAAGTATTCGTCGGTCTCTCCCGACTCGTTTCCAATAACACAAATTACGTGGTTTATGTTGATAATTATTCATCTTACATGTCACGTGATAAGGGTTTTGTCATAAACTATTCATTCGCAGTAGGTAAACCCTTTTGAAAAAGTCACTTTTATTAAGAGCATGTTTTCTAACTGGACTCGCTTCGGGTCTGAAAAATCTCCGCGCTTCTACAGTTTATTTCCGTCCTTTTTAACTCGGACTTTATTAGAAGCGGGAAAATCTGTCAATCACTCGCTCGTTCACTGTTCAAAAGTTTCATTCTGTTAGATATCGTGAGCTATGGGTGAATCTTCACTGTAAGCTATGTATATTGCCCCTACTAGAGGCATATGCAATTCTCATATACATTTTTATATTATTTCTTTCATTCACTCAGTTTTAGTATATTCTTTATACATCATGTATAAACTCAAGACAAATAACAAYTAAGATCGATATACAACTTTTTCAAAAGTCGTTGTCGCGACACCAAATTAAAATAACTACTGTCAATTTTTTAAGAATTTTAATTTTGAACGTTGCTTGCAGCAGTTGGGCACCCAGCTCTTTTTCAAAGAGTGGTGCTGTTTCTTGCTAGAATACTGGAATATCGGATATGTTTGTTCTCGGATCTTTTCAGGAGTTATTAGCTTGAATTGATTTGTTTACAATTRATGGAAAGAGTCMTTTGGACACCATGATGCGAATACCGGTGTAGGATGTGACGTCATAGAGTATATGATATCATACAGCCACAAGTAGTATGAAGGTGTTTAGGAGGAGGTCGGGGAATCTGACAGACGTGGCCTAAATCCTTCCTAAAGTCGCTACTGTAAAATGCGTAAATCAATGGATTCACCAGTGAGCTGCACAGCTCTAGAAGGTTTGCTACAATTGATAACAGAGAGGCRTCTTGGCTGTTGTTCTTATGACCGAGGAGTATATTGGAATTAACCATTGAGGACACGAAAGAAGGACCAAAGCACATGACAAACCCAATAACTACCAACACCAGCATACGAGCGCTTTTAGCTTTGGACTTTGCTGCTGCCTTATGCACGAGGCCTGTTTGACTACATTGTCTAAGACTGATGAACATAGCTGAATAAGTAACGATGATGGTTACTAAGGGCAACAGAAAGATCATTACTATGGAAATCATCACYGATATCCCGCCAACTAATCCTGGACGGACGTCACATGATGTAGGATTGCCTACAGTTTCTTTTAACTGATCGGGGTGGTCTTGGGGGGTGTTTTGTACGGTGTAAAGGAGCATAACAGACGAGATAATAGCATAACCCCATACCAGTAGGACTAATCGACGTGGACGCTTAGATTGACTTAAACCCTTTAAAGGRTGGACTATATTGCGATATCTATCGATAGCAATCACTACCAGGCTCCCAAACACGGCTGCAGCACATGTAGTACCTACAAARATACTAGTCTTACATGGTATAGATTTGCTTTGACTTGAAGGCAAGGACAGGTACACTGAAGAGGGCGTTAACAACACGCGGTACACAAGGTCCACACCAGCCATATGGGTTATGAAGAAACTGCTAATGTTGCGACGATAACGCTTACGCTTTACCATCACATAACAAACAACGCTGTTCAAAACAATACCAGCGGTTATAAGRATAAAATACAAGGTGACAATGGCGATTAACAAGTTTGGTGAGCTGCTCAAAATTGATGTCGAAGAGAAAACTTTCGTTGTTAATCCGTAAATCGATGAATTATTGGAAGAAGAATTGTTCAAGAGCTGGTCATTCATCGTKGCTGCTAATCGGCTCAAGTGACTTTGGATTCGCTGCGTGCTTTATCAATAGAAAGAYACATTTTATGAATGATTATTCTGTAGTCGCCTGCTCATAAGATGATCAGGATGAAGATTCCTATCCTGTAAAGTAAGATTTCATAAAGTGATAATCAATCTTCAACGGTTACTTCTGCAATTAATCACTGATCCCATTGATTTCTCCATTTCCTGGCAACGCGAGTTACAAGGAGTTATACGCACTACTCATTCTGACAAAAGGAAAAAGCGAAAAAAATTGACAGGGAAATTTTAAACGCTTTTGTTTGTTTTCGATCCTGTTTCTCACTCAATGTGTATTGTTTGAAGATAGTGGATCATATTCAGTAGTTACAGTTGACATYTTGGTTGATTAAAATCATACTACTTCCGTATTGTAATTGTTTCTTTCTAAACAAGAAGACAGTTTCAAATTTGATCATCAGTTTCTTGCGATAATGAAAAATGCTTTGTCGATCTACGAAAAGCATCTGCTGTATGCTCTAGTAGCAGAGAGAGTCTAATCTCAATGGATTTTCCAATTAAATCACGGAGACTTGATAGCACGAGAAAAATTCTTAGTAAATACAGATAGTAGTAGAATTTATTAGATGGCAAAAAGAAAGAGTTGAAATTAAAAACGAGATGGATTCGAAAGTAAACCGTGTGTAGCTAGTAATGATTTCTCTGATTTCGATCAATCTTGTTTCAATGGATGAATTTCCAGTCGGGATGGGACCGAAAAAATCCTTCCAAGTGTATTTSTGGATTTGTCTCTAGTCAATGTCAGACAGATTAGGTAAATTTCCCCGGATGCTGTTGTCACAGTCGTTGTCACAAAAGAATCGGCACAATTTTAAATATTTTCTAACGGGCTTCCTTTGTCGTTACAGTAAGAAAAGGCATGGAACAAAGAGAAATATGGCGTCGAAATTCTGTATGATTGAGTGAAAGCAAATTCGCAGTTCGTTGGGAGTTTATTCAAACCCGAAAATTCGTAAACTTCARACAAAAACACTTAAATAATATTGCAGAGACGGCAACACAGGTCACGCCAACATACAGTTACACGTTGCTAAAGGTATGGAGTGCTGTAACAAATTAGATTGGCTGCATGTGTTTATTAAATTTGTGGCCCATGAAATAAACTTAAGTTTACCATGTGCTGAAAATAGTTAACAAATACTTTAGATGTGTTTTCCCTGATAAAAAAGACTCCCACAGGCAACTGTGGAAGCTTATGTTAGAGGGGGAAAATGTGGTTTTCATAAACTTATATTTTTTAAAGAAGTAAGTCTACAGCAGTTTAAAACTTTGTTTCCAAGATTCAACATCACAGTGAACATGGAAGAAGAGGATCTTGATGGAGACTGGTTTGGCTACAAACGAAAGTCKTCAGGAGAAATTGTGTTCTATTTCAATAAAAAAACTGGAGAACATAGGTTACCAAGCTATTCTATCACCTCATCTGTAAGTTTTAACATTGTTCTTTGATCTCATTCGCCCTATCACCTTTCAACAAATAATGAGAGACTTTTTAACACATTTACATATCTACCCTTGTAGTTCAGGGGCATTGTACACCAAGAGAGGTCTTTTGTCTATCAATATTTGTGTTGATTATTCCAGCTAATCTGTGTTTTTTTTTTTAAATCCAGGGCTCCTCTAATGAGATAACAATTAGTGTCGACCAAATTGAGCCTGTCGAGGTGCACAATATTGGATGCCAAACTGATAATGTTGACRGCCAATATGCTTCAATATACATTGAGCCATTGAAAGCAAATGAAGARATTAATTTGGATACTTCAAAAGAGGTCAGTATATATAGGGAAAGGATCAATTGGATTCTTGTGCRCCCACATGCATCCAAGAATCTCTGCAATTATGTGCAGCGTTTCTTACAAGATGTTAATTTTTCAGGTTGTCGATTCCTCTGCATCAWCCATGATAAATGCTGCATCCACTCTAGAAAAYGGTGAAGGTYTGAATAAAAAAARCATCCCTTCACCTAACCATCCACTTGTTGAGTTACAAAGTTCTGAAGATAAAAATTTTGAAGGAGAAATGTTCACATACGATAATGATTGCCTGGAAGACCTTGACCAGCAACAGGCCAATGTAAATCAAGAAACTGCAGTTATCTGTGAATTATGTAGTCTGGTGCTAGAGTCAACTCATAATTATGAAGAACATCTTGTTACTCATTGTAGTCCAGACTTAAAGAGTTGTCCTGTGTGTRAAAAAACCTTCAAACTTAGAAGACAACTTCTTATGCACATACGAACTCATTCTGGGTACAAGCCTTTCAAATGTGGCAAGTGTAAGAAAACCTTTACAAAACAGCAACTTCTGGAAAGACACAAAAATAGTCACAAGGTTGTAAAACCTTTTAAATGTGAAGCATGTGATAAGACATTTGGAGCCAAAATGAACTTAAGAATTCATGAACGCATTCATTCAAGTGATAAACCTTATAAATGTACACAATGCAAGAAGTCATTTTCACAACTTCATCATCTCAAGCGCCATGCKTTTGTACATGGTGGGAACAAACCAAAGCCTTTTAAATGCAYRATCTGTAGTAAAGCATTTGCTGAACCACATCACCTCAGAGATCATGCTCGTATCCACTCAGAATGCAAACCATACAAGTGTGARTTCTGTGATAAAAGTTTTACCGTACGATCTACACTAAAGAATCATGAGCGGGTGCATACTGGCGCAACACCTTACAAATGTAACCTTTGTGATAAAGCATTTAAACAGTATGGCAGTCTATCAAAACATAAAAATGTACATAAATTAAGTTGACATTCTAGGTACTATAATATTTATCTATATTAATCTGTATTTATCTATTATTATCTGTATTACATGTTTGTGGTAAGTTCTCTGATTAGTAGATTGGTCATTGTACACGTTGTAGAACAGAAAGCGAATTTTCTCACGACAATAAATATGAGAAAAAAAAAGTTAAAGTTGACTTTGAAGCTGGTTATCGGTTTTCCTGTGTTGACGTAAAGAAAGGGGGACTGAAAACTAGTCTAGTGATTTCAAGATGGCGGACTGAGTTGAATGCGCTCTTGCTTTTCTTCAAACTGGGTTATAACTATTGCTAGGATGGACTTTGCCGTAAAAAGCTAGCATCAGGTTTTTAAAGATTTTTTTTATTTCAGGGCTGTGTTTGTTATGTTCATAAAGCTAAGGACATGGATGTTTGTATTGATATTGGGAGCCGTTTTAGTTTTCTATTGCGCTGTAATTCATGGACAAGTTAACGATAACTTTATTCTACCTTCGTCATTTTCATYTGTTTATAATGACTCAACAAGGACGCATGTTTCTTCATGGGCAATTAGGATTCCTTCAAGTTTACTGTCAGAAATGGACAGACACAAACTGGCCGACCGAATCGCAAGTGATGTTGGACTTGAAAATCGTGGTCAGATAGGTGGTCTAACCGGTCACTATCTACTGTACCACAAAGCATTTCTTAATCACACTTTAGATACTTCTCATAATGAAARACTGGAAATAGATAGAGTCCGAAAGGATATTTGTAAATTACTGGAAATCCATCCCCATGTGGAATGGTATCACCACGAGACTATTTTACGGCGGATGAAAAGGTCTTTACAGTTCCTCGATCAATACTTCCCTAACCAGTGGCATTTGGTAAGCACTATGCATAATTAATGCCTACTTGTTGCCTTTGTCTTTGAGATTGTCTTACAAACCCAGAAATAAGCTTTCTTTAAACTTAACTATAGTTTTAGAATATTTCGCTTATTATATATATTTTTTTTGTGGTTGAAAAATACTTAAATATTTTGTTTGCATTTCATCAAAAGATAAGTTGATTTCCAGTCAACACACATCACAGGCTTAGTGCCCAAGTGAATGATGACTGTCCAATGTGAAATATTGCGTGAAATAGTACTTCTTTTATAATTATATTACTATATAGTTATAATGTAGAAAATCCTATTTTTTCTAAATGCAATAAAACAAAAATGCACTTGTTTATACTCTTGGWTATTAATACTATATCAAACTGTGCTCATTTTTGTTATTCTCCCTTTCTTTTACTGCACATCTAGCTCACATCTAATTCATCATGTTTGTTTTAGAATAATCTTCGTTATATCGGTCATGATATTAATGTGACTGGAGTGTGGGAGAATAACATCACAGGACAGGGTGTTGTAGTATCTGTTATTGATGATGGTAAGTGAGTGATCATAACCACTGATGAATTAATGAATTAATAAAAGATAAATAAAATTATTTAGTTAATAGCTGATCAATATATTGACTCTTTGTTTGAGTAACCAATAGTAGATTAATTGTCTCATCTATTGAAAGATTGAATAATATTTATTTGTGGATTAAAAGATTTGGYCAATCATTTTCCATAATAAATATTGTTTTCAAATAAAAAATGAATAAAATCGCTTACAAATCTTTTCACAAGGTAAAGTATATTTGTTAAACCAAATTAAACATTATGTTCGTGAATAGGAGTGGAGTGGACAAATCCTGATATCTTGGATAACTATGTAAGTCCTTTGATCATACCAACTAAAATGTTAATTCTTGACGAAGTCTTAACCTAAATAATGGCAATTAATATATAAATATTGAAGGAAACATATAAATGTTTCTTAAATATATACCTTATAGAGACTATTGTCTTAGACAATGTTTATCCCATTTCATATCTCTTGGGAAAAAATATGAGTAGAATTGAGTAGAATAAAGAATTTGCCTCCTAGAAAAAGCATTATCCGAGCCAAGTAGGCTYAATAATCTTAAAATTATCATAAACACAAGAACAGACATAAATTAARAATTAAGTTTTAAGAATTTGAATTTAAAACAATGAAAAACAATTGTAAAGTCCTTTTGCTATGGTGTGTGCTGTTTCTCCCATAAACAACTTATTTATTTTTAAACACATTATKCTTATAAATGAATCAAAGTGTCTTGAAGTTTTTAATTCAATACTCAATGTTTATTGTATTCTAGTCAGCTGAGGGAAGCTGGGACATCAATTCAAATGATCCAGACCCAATGCCGAGAGCAGATGATGCTGGTTTGAATCATCATGGAACAAGGTAAACATTGCAGTTGTTATGACAATAGGATAWAAACACTCAAAAGTATTGAAAGTAACTTTTCAATGCAGCTCAATACAATATCTAAACCACAAGGCAAAGGTTTCTCATGTTTGTCATATTATTTTAGGTGTGCAGGGGAAATTGCTGCTGTTCCTAATACCTACTGTGCTGTRGGWGTTGCATATGGAGCAAAAGTGTCAGGTAGAGAGTTTATAAATCATATCATTTTAACAATATATCTTGGATGACTAATGCTAAATATCTTTTTATCAGGTGTACGTATTCTTGATGGTCCCATGACAGACAGTCTTGAGGCTATGGCCTTCAACACTAAGCTAAATATTAATGATATTTACAGTTGCAGGTAAATAAGACCTTTGTTTGTTCAAGCTTATCTAAATCTAATATTGAATTATGTGAGGTTTTGTTTTCCTTCTTTCATGTAAAACAAAGCAGAGCTTTTACCAGCACTATTAATTTGATCATCACTAATGAATCTTCATCACATTCAAAGTACCAAAATACTTGAAAAGTGTCCTTCTTGCTTTTCAATTGGCTTGTCTGTATTTGATTTGGCTGTGTTTCAGTCATGCAGAAAACAAGTTTGGAGATTTTTACTTAAATTGAATGCTCCAAATGTGTCATCAGAGTTTTCTTCTAGCATGAATACTACTCTTGATATAATTGCAGTTTTTTTGTATGAATAGTATGCACTAAAGCTCAATCTGTAATAAACATCTTGTTTGTATTGTAGTTGGGGTCCAGATGACAATGGCAAGACTGTTGATGGCCCACATCAGCTAGCTCAGGTACATATTCCTATACTAATACCATAAATTACATTGGACTTGAATAAAGTCCTTCTACAGCTGATTTCAGCTCAGGTATCCTGGATTATCAGCAGTAAAAAACCTGGTCTGTAGTAATTAACAATTTTTTTGTGCTTATTAGGCTGCTCTTGCTCATGGAGTATTGGCTGGTCGTCATGGATATGGCAGCATTTTTGTAGTTGCATCTGGGAATGGCGGGCATTTTAAAGATAACTGTAACTTTGATGGCTATGCTAATTCAATCTACACTGTTACAATAGGTTTGTATTGTTTTGTATTGCTTCATGAGATAATTTAGCATTGCCATTCAATTGGACACGTAAATATATAAGTCATTCATCATGATAATCCTTGTATGTGATATCAATGGATTGTCTAGTTTTACTGACAAGTTGTTTTKCTGTGTAGGAGCAATAGATGAAGTTGGTAATATGCCGTACTATGCCGAACACTGTGCAGCRATGCTTGCTGTTACCTATAGCAGTGGTCAAGGAATGCAAAGGAATATTGTATGTACATTTGAAGTTATTATTACTATTAAATGATAGTGATAATGATTGTAGTTGTGATAGTGAAATAGTAAATTATATTTGAGTGTACAAAGAATGCATCACTTTTAAGCTTTGACTATGTTGTACTCTAGCTGTCGTAGTTTTTATCCCTACCTTTCAAGGTTCTCTAAGCATGCTGTGTATTATACATGACATGATCTCAGCTGTTGTATTATGAAATATATGAATGATGCTCTCATAATGATTAACAACAATAAATAWAGTGATATTGATGATGATGATGATGATGATGATGATGATGTACTTGAAGATAGTGGTTTATTTTAGTCTTAAATGTCATGAAAGATGATTCATGTTCATCATGTCATGCAGCAAGGAAATTATAAATTCATAATATAAATATAAATCTGTCAAGGTTACCACTGATTGGCGGTTAGGGACTGGTACAGGCTGTACTGATAAACACACAGGAACTTCAGCGGCRGCTCCTCTTGCTGCYGGGATGATTGCCCTTATGATGCAAGCAAGGTATGATAACTGCTCTTATAAACCAAGTTTATCCATGACAACACAACTGTTACAGCACAGCTTATATAACAGTGGAATAAGTTTATTGCACAGATGCAGCTCGTACTAGTTTTATGTTAGTTAGTGTATCTCTTGTGATAACAATATAACTGTCTCTTGATACTATTTATTTCTCTTCAGGCCTTGTTTGACATGGAGAGATGTACAACATGTCATAGCCATATCATCATTCAAGGT